AATGACAATCATGCCATTATTAGTATCACATTAAGATTCCAGGGCTTTTAGTTGTGTTAGAGAGGTATGACTGCACAGGATCTTCTCAGATACCTTTCTCATTTTTTATTTTTATGGTATTTGTGATGGAGTAATTTATTATTAAATATGTGAGCTGTTTGCAATGTAAATGTATTCATCTAGTTTAATTGGAGGCTATAAAGAGAACCAGCACACGCTAATAGGAAAAGGCACCACCAGGTAAGACATGAACGACAGTCCTTTGGTAAAAGATGTCTTTAAAAGAAAAGAGAGAAACAAGTGTTCGTTAATACTTTTGAGAAAAGAGACTGAGACACATATTCCCTAAAGGGTGTCTGAAGACAATACTAGCCTGTTATTCAAGGATCAGAGAACACAATTCAGAAAGCGAGCTTGCAGACTGCAAGCAGGGTCATTTTTTTTTTTCCATTCTTTTTCTTTTGATGGTGTTTTGATGAAATAAAACTTTAATCGGTCACTCATTTTAAAACCATTTGCTGACTCCTCATTTTGGCTTCCTGATAGGAAGCACTACAGGTGCTAAGAACATCTGCATTCACATGTGCTGATCGGGCACGACTCATTACAAACTGATGTAACCGAGGTCGTAGCCTACACGTGAGAGCTTCCAGGGAATGGGCCAGGAAACGGACGAGGTCATTGATCTTGTCGACATGCTCATCCTACTGATTCTTTCTGTGAAATGATTAACATAAATAAAAGTGACTGATGGAAAATACAACATAAACTTAAGCAAATTTTAATGATACTCAGCTGACGTCTTGTGTCCAGCTTGTGAGATGGAACCACGATTTCATTAATTTAATGTCAGGAGAATTATAAGATTAACTTTTCAACAAGGTATTTTCAGTGTACAAGAATAAATAAATTCAATATGACAAAATGTATCTGAAACATTAATCATGTCAGTATCATTTCCATGCTTTGCTGTAATAAAATATGAGGAATCAAATGTGCTTGTCAGACTTTATGACTTCATTTATAAATCACATAAAAAGACTTCATATGCTATTTCAGAATATCAGCAAGTTACAGATAATGAATACTGTAAGTTGTGAACACCTTATGTGAGGCTAATTTGAATATCTTTTTATTTTACAGAAAATACAAGTGAAAATGAAAAATAAGCTCCTCAGTAATGAATTATAGTTATAACCCTAATAAGGATATTTATCTTTTTAGCTTTATAAATCCGTATTTCTTAGAAAGAAATGAAAGAAGAGTAACGCGGAGATAAAGAAAGGTGACACACAGTACACGAGTATTGAAAAGAAACTCTTTAAACTCTTTGGTGTCAAAATAACACCAAAAATTACAATTTTCTTAGGTATCATATAAGAAAAAAATGTAAATAAAATTACTCATATATAAGAGACTCAACTAGCTGACAAAAAAAAAAAAGAGAGACATTTTGCTGTTTCCTCCTGCACACACTTTTACGCTCTGGTTCTTAATTTAGCTAATGAAAAGGCTGTTTTTCACCCCAACTCTATCTGACCGACTGTGTTTCATGAGGATATTGCTCCTAATACAGCTAGCTGTAGCGCAACTCATAAAGAACGTTTTCTCAGAATCTGTCCATTTTCTATCGTATCAATTTTGTTGTTTATAGAATGTAATTCTTGGAGACCTCTTTGTCCTGGCAAAGTTCAGAAACGACACCATCTGGGTACTTCAGATGGTGAACACAATCTTAAATCTGGTGATGGTAGTGCAAGGGGTCCCTTCTTTAAAGAACTGATTTATATCCCTGTGTTGATGTAAAGCAGGTCTCAGTTCATCAGTGGTAGAAGCCTCGCAAACTCATTTAAGAGTTTCATACAACAGATGATGGAGAATTGCCTCATGCTGCCTGGTATGAATGATAACTTTGAAGTTTGTTTGTTCTCCTTTTCCTTCTCCTCTGTTTTCTATATGCAAATAATGCTTTAGTTGAAATTTTGGAAAGACTGTTCAAATTTTATTCTTCATAATTCTCTTTGAGATATGGGCATTCTATTGTGACTGCGAAGCAAATAAATGAATGGCTTCTCAATGTTTATCTTATTTTGGCTGATAGAAGGCTAGTATTTCAGTCCAACTTTGACAAGCAGAAATAGAAATGTTGCAGTTATTTGGATTTTACTCATGACAAAAGGATGCATGAGCAGTCATGTGCAATTACATGGGATGTCATCTGGAAAGTAGAGGCTTTCATGGTGGTCAGTGTTATTTTATGCTTTCTCCTACACCTTTACCTACCTAGATGAAGACTTGTTATATTGCAGACTCCTGGAGAGGGAGCTTTGCTCTGTGTTTATACAGCTTGTATGACAGAAGTAGGTCTTAGTACAATACCGCGTCTTTTAGGCCCTATCGGAACACAAATAGTAAAGAGTGAAGTGGATGGTAGCTCGTTATAGTTGGAAAGAACAATGTAGCTTCTTCAGTCCCATGGATGCAATATCCAAAACATCAACCCCTAATCTGCTCCACGACTTTGTTTGCTTTATGCTTGAGGACTGAAAAATCATTCTAGTTTCATCCTGGGAAATAAATTCAATCCAATGGCCCGAAGAATGAGTCACATCTTTAATAAAAGGAGATAAAACCCATTTCTGACAAAGCATTACAAGAGGTCAAAGTATACAGAGAAGATGAAATTATCTTTGCAAATGAAATGTAAAATTATTCTGAGCCCTGACCATTCAATAATAATGAAACCTGCATGATTTGCTGTGTGCTGCAGCAGCTCGCCTATTGTTTACAAAATAAACGACCCACAAGTACAGCAGAAAGGCTCCGCTTGCCTCAAATTTTTTTTTTTTTTTTTTTGAGTGCACATGGCGACTAAAGACAATCACAGAGAATCCCTCCCTTTTTTCAGGAAATGGCAGCGTACTGATAACCTAATAAAATGAATGTTGAGAAATTATTTTTTTTTCTTTTACCAGAATCAATCTTAAAAATTAACACAAGCTGAGAGAAGGCATCTATCGCATACATCCATAATAATTGGTTAGACTCAGTAGAGGTTGCTCTTTTTTAAGATACAGTAAGTGCGAACATAGCTGCTCCGTTAGCCCCCAGCTCGGCTGCCTTTGTTGGAGGGTAGGGTCCCCTGCAGCGCTACACTGATTTCTCCTGCCTCTCTGTTTGACTGTCCCGCACCTGGGGCTCTCTGAAATCCACGCAGCTGGCTGACAAAGCTGTTTCCACGGCCTGCTACGGTTAACAAACCGCCGCTCACACCGAGCGCTACAGCCGCCCACCTCCCCGGTGG